TGCGAAGACAACAGAAGACTCTTCTTCGCGACTCTCATGGCATCCAATGTTTTCATCACAAGTCGTGACATCAGTCGTGACGTCATCTCGTTTTGGCGCGAAATTCAAACTCAAGTCAACGCAAGTGTTATCTCGAGATGTGATCAGCGATTGGTTTGTCTCCAGGCGAGCGCTGATTGGCTGTCAGTGTGTGACCTTCGGCTGCGGCCTTGAGTTGAGTCTTATTTACGAGAGATTTCCACAAATCGTCTCATTTTTCGTCTCAATTATGGGTATAACAGACGTTTGGAAGGAATTCCTCGAAAGTAATGCCTTTTCCTCTTCGCAGACATTACTCCGCAATCCGTCGGCGATCTCCTCATCGAAGGCAAGACCAAACAGGTGTTCGGCGTCCGCACCGACCCCTCGCTGGTGTTCGTGCGCTCCAAAGATCGCATAACCGCCGGCGACGGCGCCAAGAGTCACGAAATGCGCGGAAAAGCCGTTCTCTCGACGCAAACCAATTGCGCGCTCTTCGAGTTCCTGCAGTCGGTGGGCGTTCCCACGCACTTCGTGGGCCGAGTGGGCGGCGCCTCCCATCCCGACGCCGACCGCTCTTTCGTGGCCAAGAACTGCGCTATGATTCCCATCGAGTGGGTCGCCAGGTATGATGTCACCCCCTCTCGGGTCACGTGTTTCTTATGCGTCTCTTTGCAGACGAGTGGCGACCGGAAGTTACCTCAAGAGACACGCGAACGTCAAAGAGGGTAAGCCTTGCCTTCCGGTGCTCTGATGCGAACTCACTGATCGAACTACCCGTCCTTAGGCTACCGGTTCGCGCCCTTGAAGTTGGAGACCTTTTTCAAGGACGACGCTAATCACGACCCCTTCTGGTCGGAGGAGTCGCTGATTGGCGCGCGACTCGAGGCCAACGGACTCCTCATCGACGCCGCGCGCGTCAAACAAATGCTCGAAATGACGAAAACCGTGTTCGAAGTCATCGAAAGAGGTATTCCTCTGAACAGAACTTCCCTTCGCTCTGAATAGGCCTTCCCTTAGCTTCCCTTAGCTTTCGGTACATTTCAAAGTGATAAGCATTCAGAATAACAAACAACTGATAAAAACATTTAAAACAACTGATAAGTCATTCAAAGTGTAAACACTTTTATCGCTTTCTGTGTACCGAAGAAAGGAATGTCTGTTCCCCTCCTATGACCCCTCCCTCACCCTCTCTCTGACCCCCAGTGTGGCAGACGGCGAACCACGCGCTGATCGACATGAAGATCGAGTTCGGAGTCATTGACGGAAACGGAAAGAAAGAGATAGTCGTCGCTGACGTCATAGACAACGACTCGTG